CCCCCTCAGGCTCAAAGCTTGGAAGACTATGAGAAAGAGGCTTTCCAGAGACTTCCAGGCAAGCAGCATGGTGGTAAGGCTTTCAAAAGGCCAGCTTGCTCTAAGGTTCCCAACAGCTTGCCAAAGGCAAAGTCTTGCCCAAAAGCAAAAGCAAAGCCTGGGCCAAAGGCAAAGGCCAAAGGGTGCTTGAAGGCTTGTGACAAGAAGCAATCCAAGCCTGCTGGGAATTGCTGGGGTTGCATCCGGTGCAGGGGCAATACATCTGGATGCTCCACTTGCAAGAAGCAAGGGTTCCAGGGATTGCGACTCAATGGCAGAGATGCCTGGAAGAGATGGTTCAATTCTAGAAAGGCTTGACATGTTTGTGGCTGAAACTTTTAAGTAAGCCACAGTGCCTGCTGCTTGGGTGCAGATGGGTCAAGGTACCTGCATACTAGGTGCACTTGAAGGGGTGACAACTCTGCAGAGAGACCCCAAGTTGCCATGGCTGTGAAAATAGAGCTGCTTATACAACTGAATATGTTGAGTTACTTTTGTGTTATGTGTTTAGGGTGCTTTGGCTCAACTCTGTTATCCTTTATGGCTCATGTCTCTAATATCTTAGCTAGTTTCTTTTCAGCCAAGTTGGCTCATGTATTTTAGCCACTTTGGCTCATGTATTTAGCCAGTATGGCTCATGTAGCTTTGTTGCCAGCATGGCTCATGTATTTCCAGTTTCCATTTCTGGCATTCAAGCCTGGTTTCTATCATGGTGGCGCCTTGCTTCCCATTGTTGCGCAAGCTTTTGTACTCAATGTGTACTGCATGTGGGTTTGGCTCTTCCAACTAACTTATTGTAGGTCAGGGTCAAGATAGTGTCCAAGCCAGCATGCCTTTGATATCAAATGATTATGGGCGCATGCACTTACATGCACCACCAGGTGCCCCACCACAGGTGGAACCAACTAAGTTAGAGAACATGGCAACCTTTTTTAGCTTTCTTGTATATATACATGACTCTTGCTGCACAATGGGCCCTGCAGTTCCTGAACACTGGTGCTGCAATGGTTTTCTGGCTATGTTTCCTAATGCTTTCTGAATTCATTGATGGAAAGCAGGCCAAGCAAGTTGGCAAAGATTACTTCATTGAGGAAAAGTTATTCCTCAATGTAGCAAGAGCGCATTGCATAAGACTTTGGCACACATCAAAGATGAAGGCATACCTGAAATGTCTCAACCAAAGCAAATGACAGAAGGGTGCCAAGCAGTGGTGGATACAATGAATGGCTATGGCCCTTTGCTTTTTGACCACTATCTGATCACCACCACAAAAGAAAAGAAAACAATTTCCTTAGTCAATTTCCTTTCCTGGGTACATGGTGCCTACAAAGCAGGTGGTGGTTTCTGGTCCTTGCTTAGGTCGACCTTGGCTAACCACCAAGGCCCTTTGTCACTCCTGCTTTATGCAGATGAAATCACACCAGGCAATGTGTTGGCACATCAAACTTCAAGGAAGATTTGGTGCATTTACCTCACCATCAAAGAATTCCACACTGCAATTCAATGCGAGCATGCCTGGGTCACAGTGGGCTTGATCAGATCAACTACTGTAGCAAGTTTCGATGGCCATCTATCTCAAGTCTGTGCTTGCTTGCTATCTTCAATTTTCAATAGCAATTATGCCAATGTCACTGAGCTGGGCATTCAATTGCAAGAGCCCCCTGGTCAAAACCCTGTGGGTAAGAGACTGAAGCTACAGCTGGGCTTTTTTAAAATGGATGGGCAAGCATCAAAGTTTGCTTGGAGTACTACAGGTGATGGAGGCTCTAGGTTCTGCCAGCAGTGTGCAAATGTATTCCTATTTGCTGATGATGAAGACAGTTTGTCTGAAGTCTCCAAGTTCACCCATTTCAGGCAGCTCCACCCTGTGCAAAGGCATGAGATCTTCCAGAGCTGGGACAGAATGGAAGCCAGGCATTCTGTTTTGAGCAAAAAAGATTTTAGGCAATGGGAGCAAGCAAGTGGGATCTCTTGGTCTCCTCATTCCCTCCTGGCTCGCCAGGATTTGAGGGGCATCCTTGATCCTACAACACAGAACACTTGGGACTATATGCACTGCATGTGGAGCAATGGTATTATCAACATTGCTGTCTTCAACTGGCTGGAGGAGCTGGACCAATGGCCTCTCCTGTGTGGGTATGTGCAAAAGTTCTCCTTGCCCAAAACCTTGGGTGGAATCAAGCTGGCACCACTCCTTGAGCAGAAGCGGTTGCAAAAGCACAGGTCTCATGGCAAAATGAACACTACAGCTTCTGAGTTGTTGACATTGGGGTCTATTTTGGCACACTTTGCCAGAACTGTAGTTGCTCCCTCAGGTGCCCACAAGGAGGAAACAGATCTCATTCTTGCATTGGTATTGTTCTTGGACCTTCTCCAATCAACATGGCATGGCAAGGTGCAGCCAATCCAACTGCAGCAAGTGGCTGAAGATTGCTTCAGCAAGTGGAAACACTTGGGGTGGAAAAATGGTAAAAAAACACCATTGGCTTTTGCACTTCCACCAAATGCTACAGCATCACCAAATCATCCCTGGGTGTTTTCGCATGGAGCGTAAGAACAAAGTCCCTGGCAGAATTGCCACTGGAATTCAAAACATGAGGCGGGTGAGCAATCGCTCTACTTGGAAATCATCACTTTGGAATTGGAGAGGGTCAAGAGCCCTGATGTGTTTGCAAATCATCCAGCCCTTCCTAACCCCAAGCCCTGTGGGAAAAAGCTTCTTCCTCTGGCTGCTGCCATTTGGGACAGGCTTGAAGACCTTTGCACCAGCAGCCACGCAAGGGTTCAATCTGGCACCTGCTCAAAAGGTGATATTGTCTATTTTACAAGCTCAAGGGGGCACAGCTTTGATGCAGGTGAGATTATCACTTTCTTCAGCAACCAGAGCCAAGAGGTTGCAGTCATCAATGTCTTCACAATGGGCAATATGTTTGAAACATATGCTGAGTGGTATGATGAAGACACCATCCAAGCTGTTGATTTGAAGCACTTGTTTACAGCTGTGATCCATTCCAAAAGCAGTCAGAAGCTGACTACCTTGACTCCATGGCACTTGAGGTGAAAAAGCAATTGCCCTTCACTATAAGGTAGCTGTTGCTTTCAAGCCTGAATGGCTCATGCAGGCATTTGCATGTATAGCCTTCCAAGGCTCATGTTCAGTCAGTCAGCCATTTTGGCTCATGTCATTTTTGTGAATATGTTTTTGGTTTTATGTAAACTTAGCTTTCAAAAGTGTTTGCTATTTCATTGTATGTTCTAAAGATAAATTGTATGTTAACTGTTTGCTAACTACTTAGCTAACTTGTTACATAACTGGTTATTTTTTATTAAAGCTAACTGTCCTAACTCTCTTAACTGTAAGACTTAACCCTTTTAAGTAGTTAGTTAACCCCCAGCACATCTAAGCAGTGCTAGTACCTGTGGCGTGGGAAGAACTGGTGGGAAAGGAATGGGCTAAATTTGCAAACGGGCCCTAATCAGTTGCGATTCTTCAGCGCCAAGCTTCGAGAGTACAGGGTCAAACTCATGGAGCAAGGCGATGTAGTTCCCATCGGCACCGAAGGTCGGAACCATGCTGAAAAACTGGAGCGTGTAATTGATCCCTCTGGCGATGTTCCAAACCTGAGACACACACATGAGATTACGCGTACGGAACTGAAAGCCACTTGCCACACGCCCACCTAGGTATGAACGCCTAAGAGTACCAAGAGTAAGTCTGAAAAAGGAAGGCCCCCAACGCATTCCAAAGCTACAACAGTCTTGAAGGTCACGAACCCCGGCTCTCGGCGACAGGTTGACGACGTGCGCTCATGTCTGCAGAACTCATTAGACCTTTACTGGAGAGTGGAGTCACAGCTTGTTCAAAAGTTCAACCATCGCAGGTACGTCACGGTGATCAGCCGTGATATCCTAGGTCCCAGTCCTAGTCAACTGCATGGAGCTTCGTTGGCGACAGCCATGCAGCGACCCTGTCGCCCCCTGCTATAGAATTTTAAAAAGAAACACTCCAACAGGAACCTTGTGACTCCAAAGGCTACACACACATACTCACGGTTTTGTTTTCTTTCTGTCTGGGCGATTCTCCGTGTCAAACAGGTCCACCAAAATATCAGAGCATTCCTATGAGAGCAACCCACACGAGGCCACACACAGGAGAAATCACACAAAGCCAACCTGCTTGGAGAAACACCATTCCATGCTCAACAATCTTCCTTTGGAGGTATATATCTACGTTCTTGCCTTCACCTTTCCCTGTCCCCCGCACCACCAAGCAGCAATCTCTTGTTGCTCGACTACGGTGTATTGGGCCACCGGCGCCCGTGCTTGGAGCAAACTGCTGCAATCTTCCTCGCAGGCCACTACCGCTCGGGCAGCCAAGGCCAGCACAAGCGAGAGCATGTGGAAATGTACATACGTTTCGATATAGGAAAACCGGCGCTTGAGCCAAGGTGTTGGTCAATTTCAAGATGTTGCCAGCCTGGCCTTCTGATCCTAATACCCTTACACTGAGGACTTACACTCCGTGCTTGCCAGAAGCGGCGGATTCTGGGGGAGGGGCGCTGTTTTGTTGGAGGTTTTTGGATCACATGCTTCCCCTCCGCTGCTGCTGGTTGTGGTCGAACAGGCCATTGTCCTTAATCTTCCGGTCTGCTCCTCGTCCTGGCGGCGTCCTCGGAGATCTATCTCCCACGCTTCCTTGCCTTGCCAAACTTGATCAAATGATCACTCCCTCAGGCTGTTGCAGGAGATACTCGATGATCTCAGCGTTGAAGTGTGCCGCTGACAATGCAAGCTGCTACTAGCTTCTTGAAAGTTGAAGCCTCTGCCGAGGAGCAAACAAAGTCTATCCTGACTGAAAAAGCCTTGCTGGATTGAACGCGCCGTTGTCTTTCCTCTCAATCGGAATGCCAGGTCGTGGCACGTGTCGCAACCGCTAAGTGGCTACAAGGGCACTGGTTTTGTGCCAAACGAAGCCGACACAAAAGGGAACATATCACAGGCACAGCAAGAAACAACATTCGCTGCATGAACAAAGGATTCATTACGGTCACGCTATCCTTCATTACACTTGAGAGGAGAGAGACACAAAAGGTAGGACAGTGGGAGGAGAATAGCATTGTCAGCTATTCGGAGCAGGAGATGATAGGGGTAAGACCACAATGGCCTTGATCATGCCTAAATCAAAAGACTTGGGACAATCCCGTGAATTTAACTGACAACTGTTGATCAACACAATGATCAACAAGCCATTGAATCTGGTGTTGGTGGAGTTGGCTGAAGCGCCAACTTGAGATTGTGATATAAGATGTATACTGTATTAAATATGTATATTGTTGACTCACGGTCCACATTGCCGCTGTGCTCGCAAACCAAATGACCTGCATCGAGATGATCCACTTCGGGACGAAGCGGATCATGAAGGGGGCGGGAGGGGTCTCTATTGAAAAATCCATTCGAGGGGGTGGGGTATCTCTATTGAAAAATCAACTTCAAAGGGGGGGGTTGAATTGAACTATCAATCACTAGACCCGGAGGAGCCTACACTTGCTTCGCAAGACAAACTCAAGAGTGATGAATACCAACTCCCCAAGAAGTTATGATTTGCTCTACGGCAGTCCATGTGCACCAAACACGGCAACTCAAAGGTTCCCTTCATGCCGCATGACGTGTGAGCACTCTTCGAAAATGGGGTCCGCTGTTCTTGCCATGTGCTTGAGCGTCAAGACACTGGGAACATGACCCTTCAAATAGGAAGCAAGGCCCAAACATAATTGACATGTTCAGCAGTTCACCGGATGTTAGCGGAGTGTCTAGGAGGAGCGACAGGCCGGTCTGCCTCCCCGCCGTTGGTCCGATTATTAAGGTCTCGAAACGCACAGAATGGACAGATTGCCCTGAAGAATGGTGGTGGGTTCCTAAGTTAAGCACTTCCAAGAGCTAGCGGTGCCAGTGTGGGATTTGAACATGTCAGCCAAAACTTTGAAAACTACCCAACCAAAACTGGACGTGACATGCGGTTACCCAAACCCAGCTTTCTCCTTCTGTGGTGGCCTCAGGCTGCTAAAAATTAAACTGCCTCGAGGATGAGGCGAGGCAGGATTGACGAAATTTTACCTATATAACTATTCTCCTTTGATTAAAGAATGGTCGAAATTCTCGGTATTAGTTAGAATTCGTAAATCAATTCTCCAGGTTGTTCAACTGAATAGGCTATATAAAGCCTATTTAACTCAATAGACTTTGAACCAGGATAGATATTCCCTCCCGGCTATTTGCCCAACTATATAGACTTGTCGAGGTTTCCAAGAACAAGTGTGGCTGTGATCACGCCTAAGACGAAATATGCCAAAAGATGCCAAAAAACACAATTTGTTTCAAGAAATGTCCCAAAAGGAAAAATGACACGGACGTATCCTCGAACCCACCAGGCCCGATTCATTGGGCCACAGGGTCCATGATTGTTAGGATAGCTAGAGAAGAGCTTGACTGTTTTGAAGAGCTCACCAACGATCACCAACTTCATATTTGGATCAATGTGGACACTTTGGGATCAACTATTTTGGTCTAATCTCATTGACATGCACAGGTGAATCGTGGCTGCGATACGAAGGTGTCAACCGTCCATCATATACAGCATTGTCGTCGTTAAGTTATTTTCCCCATTGTCTCTATCATCCGTGTTATATGGATGCAATGGCCCCTCCGGGATTAATAGTTTCCAATCACGGCATGTGGATCCATAGGGGGTTGTGATTGACTTCAACGTGTCTTTCCAGTTTTCGATGCTACTGCCTGCCTCAGTCGCCACCGGCCAATTTATTGTTTTTGCGATCAAGGTATTCGTGAAACTGCGAAAAGTCTTACCCAAACATTTGCAGGTCATCCCACTTAAGCTGGTCAAACATGCCAGTCTCAGCAAGGAAGAACTGATCCATCATCTGCCCCGGCAGCGCGAAAAACCAGTCAACTGGAATATACTCTTGCAGCGCAGCCTTCCAGGATGTTGTAAGCCGATCTGTGGCAGAAAACCAGTTGGATTCGTGTACATCAGGCGCAGGGTGCTTGTGGCTGAGGTACTTCAAAAACTCGCGCGGGTTGCGTTGGAAGCGTGCGGCCAAAGCCTGGGACATGGCATGACTCTGAGAAACCTGGATCCACCTGACTGGAGACCTGATGGGGGCCTGGGTCAGCACCAAACAGCAACATCTTTAAAAGAAGATGTGGGCCAAGTTAAATCTCGACACGACAAACAAAAGGGCCTCTTCCAAGGCCACGACATCAGTCTGCAACGTGGTATCCGAAACATTTGCTGGGAGCTTATCACAGTCAAAGGGTGAACGGTAGTGGTTGGCGACTCCCAAGCTGGGCGAAATATGAAGATCCTCCGTGCCATGAACCGAACTGTGGACCCAATGGACGTACACGGAGTTCGCATTCTTGACATTGTAGACCTGTGCGCAGCGCGGTCGCGCCCGGAGTTCATTTCAGTTCCACTCCATCCCGGGAATCTCATCACACCCAACCAACCAAGAACAAAAATGACTCCAGCCCAACAGCACGGACTAACTCAACCAAGTCACAAATTTGGGCCAGCCCCTCTTGCCCTCGCCCCTGCAGAAGGGTGCCACCTGTGTCTCTGCTTGTTGCATAGTCGAACTAATGGTCAGCTCGTCCCGCGAGGGCAGCTCGAAGCGGTACAGGTCAAAGGTGATGCTCTTCACGTCTTCCACTCGTTTGCCTTGCGGACTGGGCATGTGGCACATTGAAGCACCCCTACACGGTTGATGGAACTTCTTCACACAGACCCTTTCAGACCCTATGACACACCTATTTTATGTGGATTTGGGCAGCCTTGGACTGTCATGTATCTTCTGATAGGAAAATGAATCTACCTTCCCCGCAGCACTATGCTAATTGGAGTTCCTCCCTATTTCATTTGGGACACCCAGGTCTATAAGCCAATCCCACATGCTGCAGCCAAAAAACCCACCGTATGCTTCAATGTATCAAACCCCAAACTAGAACAAGGCCTATATTTATGATCCGAAATCTCACAATGGCGCTGTGTACGCCCAAGAGGTTGAGACCTGCCAAACAAAACACCAGAAGTGGTGCTGGATGCTGCTGTCTTCCACCATGGGCCTGGTGACCGTTGTTAAAACACCCTCCAGCCTTCATGGCGAACAATGGCATCCCACACGGTGTGGAAATAATTCTTCGGCACTGAAGGGGTGCCGAAAAGTTCGCTCGGTCCGGTGACCCGGAAGTACTCATCACGGTCCACGGTCGGCATCACCCACGTGGCATGGTTCCTGGGATTTGCTGAAGCAGAACCTTGCAAAATAGGCCAAACAAATCCCCCATACAAAAGGTGCCTCACCAAAGACACCCCAAAAAAATATGTTTTTTTCCACCCCCACCCGCCAAAATTACAGTGGTAGGATGACAGGGTCGGGGTGACTGGCGAGGCAGCCCAGGCGCATTTGGTGTTTCATTGTGATATAACATGTGTTTGTCACTGGTTGCTGTCGTCGTGTTTGTCGTGGTGTGTTGCCCATTATCCCTGAGGGTCTGCGCACGTGCACAGGATACACCTAGGAACGTATCAAGTTTTGTAATGTGGACACTGACCTAGGCCTAAACTTTGCCATTCGCAGGAGTCCAGGTGTGGGATTTCCTCCAGGCTGAATGCGTTGCCAGACGGCTTTGGACATGGGAACTGAATGATCAAGATCACCTCAAGCGATTGTGATCACGAGGGCCATATTGCAGATAGGATCATTGGTCAGCCGCGGAATCTGCGCTCAATATTCCAAATTGTGAGATGGTTGTGATGTTTCGCTGGCCGCTTGCGGGGTGATGCGCAAATTGGCACCCTCTTCAAACACAAATGTGTGTTGGAATGCCTCGTTCCAACCTTTTCAAAGGAATTCGGCGGAGAAATCGGCAGTCTTTCTGGCATATCTTCTGACATTCTTTCTGACATCTTTTCTGGCGTATCTTCTGACATTCTTTCACCCGACGTGCTGACATTATTTCCGGCATATCTTCTGACATTCTTCCTGGCATCTCTTCTGACATGCTTTCTGGCAGATCTTCTTGCATTCTATCTGGCATATCTTCTGTATTTCTGGCATCTCTTCTCACATTCCTTCTGGCATGTCTTCCGGCACTCTTTCTGCCATACTTTCTGGCGTTCTATCTGGCATATCTTCCGACTCGTGGTTGAGGTCCAGCGGGGAACACTGCCATCCAGAGCTGGGGGTTGAGGTCCGGCGCGGAACACTGCCATCCGGAGCTGGCGGTTGAGGTCTGGCAGGGAACACTGCCATCCTGCACTTGCGGTTGAGGTCCGGCGGGAACACTGCCCTCCTGCACTTGCGGTTGAGGAGGCGGAG